GTCTGTTTTGACCAGCTTATGCTCTAAATTTAAGGGAGATTTTTAGGAAAGTCTCTGGACTCATTATGTTGTGAAGAGTTCTACTTAACAGAATTGCCTTCTTGCTCAGCATGCCTCCTTCCCTCTCTCCCTCCCTCATTTCACCCCCAGGTTTCTTATAAACCAAATAAGTACCATTTCATTCTCTGTGGCCTTTAGCTGCATAGCTTACCTTGATCACTGGGTGTTCATCTTATTGCATTCACTGGGCAGTCTCTTACTTGCTGCAGAAGTAGATGTTGGGTTGTACTTAATTATTTGTTCTCAATTTCTTTTTTAATAAGACAAACACAGTAACACTTTCTTTCCAATTGAAAGTGTACAAGGCTCTAGAAGAGTTTACAAACAACAGAAGACCAGGGCTCACACGAGCAAGCCATTTTAACTTCCCTCAAGGACTTCTGTTGTCACTAACAATTCTTCTTTGTGCCCTCTTCATCACAAACTTCAGTCACCAGTGGAAGAATGAAATATAAAATAAGTTATGCCACAGCATGCTGTGTTACGTAAGCAGACAAAGTATTTAGGGAATTTGAAAAATGGAAGAATTCTTGTTACCTGGAGGACTCAGGGAAAGTGGGGTCATGAGAATGTTTTTGAGTTTACTTAATCGTTGTTTTTAGAATAAGAAAACCTTGACTTTGTATGTAGGCTTAACTAGCCATGGAGGCTGGGAATAGCTACTAAGGGGAAGAATGAAGCACACAGATGTTCATGAGTCAGGTTTAGCCAGAAGGGGAGGGGAAAGGCTGTGGAGTAGCCTCTAAGGAAAAGAGATTGGCTTTTCTGGGTTACTGGCTGTGCCAGTTTACCATCTATTGCTGTGATAAAAACACTGACCCAAACCAGCTTGGGGTGGGAAGTGTTTATTAAACCTCACAGGTTAGCATCTATTATCTAGGGAAATCAGGGCAGGAGCTGGGGCAGGATCCTGGAAACAGGAACTGACACAGAAACCGCAGAGGAATGCTGTTTACTGACTTGCTCTCTATGGCTTACTCAGCTTGCTTTTCTGCATAACCCAGGACCACTCAGGAGTGGCAGCAACCCACAGACATGCTCAAAGGCCAACCTAATGGAGGACATTTCTCAACTGAGGGTCCCTCTCCCCAGATGACTCTAGTTTGTATCCGGTTATAGCACTGAAAGATGATATTAAGTTGTGAAGTTACAAAGAAGAAAAAAGAGGGTGGGAGGGTCAGGCAGGATTTGCATAAGGTCTTGAATGATTTCTTTGAGTACATACATAGGTGTGCAAGATTCTGGGTCCAAAGAGAGGGGACTTGAGTGGAAAGAAGACCACATAGGAAATGTCACTAGCCATGTCAACAGAGCTACAACCTTTTCTCTGTCCCCATGTCTGTCTGTTCCCACACACTTCCTTAACTTCAGAACATCTCTAGTGCCCCTTTTCATCCCACTTACAAATGACAACAGGCAGAATGCATAGGGCTGAATAAAAGGTCTAATTTTATTATTCAGCCCTATGCAGACTTTGATCTTTTTTTTTTACCTAATTTAGCTGCTCCTTTATATATTTTCACTTTCACAAGTCACTAAGTTTAAATGTTTAAACATTTACCCCTCCAGTAGCAAAAGAGAAAACAGAGTGGCAGCTAATACAGTAATAAATTTATCTATAGCCACAGGAGATAAGCTTCAATGCAATATGGCCATAAAGTAAGCTCCCAGGCTTAGAGAAATTACAATGACGTTCCATAAATAAGAGAATTTTAAAATACTTCCAGCAGTAAATAAGGATAAAATATAACTCATAACCAGTGGCGGCACATAGCCAGCAATAGAGCTCCTTATACAAGAACACTATGAACTAAAATAAAGGGAGTTAGCAAATTGGTGTTAGTGTTAGCTCACACCCTAGGTGGGCTGCTGAGAATTCGCTGTTGTGAGGTTTTCACCCATCCTGAAATGTTGCCTCTTACATCTCCTGACACCTCTTGATTTGCTGAAGATCTTTGACAGTCACCAAGGAAACACTGAGGTACTAATGCCACAAATGAGAGTTTTCAGCCAATTTGAAGGTGTCAGAGGGGACCTTTAGTAAGGGAAAGTAGGGCACAGGGCGCTGCTGCCACAGCCTGGGGAGGATGTACATTCTACAGTGCCAGGGAGGTTATCTTCTTGATTTGCAGCTGATCCCCACAGAATTTGAAGTCTTCTTGGGAACCTTTGTAGGTTGTGTTTCAGGTTTTCGGATCAGGTGTCACTTGAGCAACGGCATATAAATAGAAATAAATACACACACATATACATATACATATACATATACATATACATATACATATACAATGGCTTTTTATCTATTTGACATGAGTTCTCTCTGTGTGTCTCTGTTGCAGCATGCATGCATGTGTACATGCGTGTGTGTGTGTGTGTGTGTGTGTGTGTGTGTGTGTGTGTGTGTGTG